CAGAGGGGTCTCGTCTTGTTGGCGGCAGCGATCACATACTCCGTCGCCTGAATACCGAGGTAGGGTATCCCTCTTGCGTTGCTTGGTCCAAGCTCCTCCTGTTACAACATTTAACATAACCTCCGATAGACGTGAACCATGCCTCTGCTGCGCTAGGTGATCCAGCAACTGTCGTAACGATACATTACTGACACCATCCTCGATACCTGAACCACAATAATGCTGGCTGGCTTTGCGCCACAAGGGCCTGTGCGCTGCTTCCTTGACGTCCTGCAGAAGGGCCACGTGACTGCCCAAGCCCGTGACCCCCGTGTATCAGCTGTCAGGAAATTGCCATTCCTCTTCAGTACCCTGCGGACTGATGTAGCACCACGCCGAAGGTGAGGTAGGAGTCCATCCTATTCTCAGCAACTGAAGGACTACCGCCGAGACGGGCCTCTGAACTGCACGAGCCTGCTCCCGAGGGGGTAGCTGCTGCAGTCTGGCGACCACTGACGGCCAGACATGTGCTATACTTTTCCCCCGGCTCGGATGCGACTGCCACATTGATAGCCAGAGGTCGATCGTACGCGTCGCCATCGAAACTGCTGGATCCATGCCGCATGCCCTCAGGTCAAGTAGCGTGGTGAGGCAGCGCCCCTTGGTAGCTGATGCGCACGATGCTCCTAACCTCCTGCTGAACTCAGTGAGTTGCTGCCCGAACATGCCGTGCACCTGGAAGCCGTAGCCTCCAGCTGGTTGCGCTCCGACTTTCTCCAACTTTGATACTTGACGATATTGTTTGGCAGCCTTCGCGAACTTCTTGAATTTGTCGCTCATCTGTTTATGCTTGTCATCCCTTTTGACACGCTGTCCACGACCATGAGGACCGCAGCTGAAATCAGTACCCAGGTAAGCCGAGTGTTTCACCGCAACAACTTTGAATCCTCGTAGACGTACCGCCCTAGCCACTGCCGTGGCATCCTCCATCTTAGTGCACATGACAACTGATTTCGGCGAAATCTTGAGCTTCCTCCTGGCTAAGGCTTTGCCAGTGTCGACAATCGCCTGATTTGGCCGATCCAGTGATTGTCTGAGAAATATCATCGATCCAAGCACGGTGTCCCATATGAGGGCTTGAAGTCGGAACTATATTCATAATGAAATAAGTCATGATTCTTGCGAATCTGGTTCCTGACCGAAGACCTTGCGCTATGCTATGACTTGGTTCAAACGGATTAGACGAGGCACCTTCCTGAATGAGGCGCCTGCGCATCGCACATTGTACAAGTTCTAAGTATAAAAACAACAGGGGGAAATCCCATCTTGAGGGCCGCTCTTGCTTACAAATCCCATGGGATAGAATCGTAAACTTTATGCACATCAATGATGGCGTGCCCGAAATTCATATTCATGGTATGCGCCATCTCCTCGTCGATGGCCCTGAGGTAGGCCTCTCTCAAGCTCGAGTTGCCCTCGACGGCCGCATCCCACGAAGCTATATTCTGAGATGACCATGACCTGACCAGCGGCTCCCGATGCAGCGACCAGAGCCTTGCCACCATCGTGAGGATAGCAATGGCACGATCTCCAGTTTGTTTCTTCGGACTAAGCCTACAAAGAACCAACATCAACTGAATTGGCCAAGCGAGTGTGGATTCAATTGACTGGAGAAACGATGCCATCTCTGAAATTGCAATCCGTGGCAGCCTCTGAAAGTCGACTGGCGTGAACATATCCACTCCAAGGCCCGCTCGGGCCGACATTTTGGCTGCCGCAGCGTATGCGTCGTCTGCTTGGATGGGCTCCTGCTCGTTGAACACAGCTTCCCCGCGGATGACACGGAAAGTCTCGAACACCTGCTGTTTGTCCATAGGAACTGGAGCCCATAACCTGGTGAACCCCTCCTGCTTGATGTCCATAAGATCCTTGGGGTGAAATATAACTTCCGCTCCCACAATAGTCTCTTGTGGCGGGAGTGGCTGGGGCTTGAGCGCCCGATGAAGAATACCTTGATAAGACTTGTAATTTGCGACCCAATTCCTGAACTCCTGCAGCGATTCATGCAATGAAGCCCGTTGGGCCCTTTCCATGATCTTCCGCGAAGACACAACATGCCGTGCAAAGTGCCCGACCGTGACAGAAAGCGGGCTCTGGAGGATGGCTAACCAGTGGTCCCACGATGGCCCCCTGTCAGCCTTGATCAACAAATGCGCCCCTGTCGGACGAGACCCGTGATGACACAAACTTGCAGCGATAAACGGTTGAATATGCTTTTCGCCGTTGCCCCTCTGTCTGTGGCCCTGAAGGCCTTTAAGAACAGTGTGAATCCTTGTCCACCACTGGCTCCTCTGATCACGCAAAGGCAGTTCACGGACGTGTAGCGTCTGCCGCAACGCCTGAACTGAAACATTGGGCCCCGCTGCGCGCGATGGTCCATGAGTGACCTGTAGACCGCGATGAGAAAGGATGCTGGCCCCCGCCGCTGCGGCCCAAGAAGCGTGCAGACTGGAGGCCGAAG